CCAGTCAACTTCCATATCTGATGACCAGAACATCAAAGTCCTGAATACTGAGCTAAGGTGGAGTAGCAACATCTGTCTATACATACCATCCGGCAGCCCCTTCCTAATGTCACCGCCACAATCCACAAACAGTCCAAGCCACGCATAATTATCGGGGATTTAATAGCCACAGCAGCATCATTGGCTATCATTCCATCACAGACGGCAACGCTTTTGAATCGCTGGCCGAAGCAAGTCAACTGAGCCACAATGCGTAACTGCCAAAGTCTTTCCACATCACAGCTGAGGCTGGAGATAAAGTTTCAACCCTGCTCTAGCCTTTGTGAGCCACAACATCGCCTCGCTTAGCAACAAGATGGTCCTTGACCCCATTCCAAAGACCCTACATTGCCCTATTGGAATCAAAGTGGCTGCTGCTGTCTCTCCGCAACAATTCCATTCCGCCGCCATTTCAACTTAGTAAGGCCAACTGGGAAGGCTTCACCAATAAGCTCAAACACCACCTATAGCTGAGATTGATCCAACCCCCGATAACTATGACTCTGGTTTGTTGATGTGGATGTGCAAGAACATCCCTACGGGCCGCCGCATTGATTACATCCCAGGCTTAGCATCCCGTAGTGCTGAACTTTACAGGAAATACAAACGCCTGAGTGAAAACGAACCTCTTGCTGTCGATACAATCACAATCAAAACGCTCAGCAATGACCGCACAGAGCCAAGTGAACAGCATTGTAACATCAACACCAACCTTCTCCTAAGCGACCTAAACCCAAGCTCTGCCAAAAAGACCCCGCCATCGACATAGGCTTCAGCGAATCCTTCTCTGCTAATGAACTTGCGACTGGCATAAATAAAGAACAGGAAAGCAACCAAACTGGATAACATTTTCACCGAAGAATTGAAACATCCTGAACCAAACGCCTCGAATTGGTTACTCCAGCTCTTCAACACTTGCCTTGCCACACAAACAATACCTAAAGTGAGGCAAGAGTCGAAGGTCAACGCCCTTCTAAAACCTGGGAAAGACCCACTGCAGGTCAAAACGTATCATCCCAAATCCCTTCTAAGTCACACATTCAAGTTGCTGGAACATTTCCTCCTCAACCGTCTTGCCTCTTCATTGAGAAACAACTGATACAGGAACAGGCAGGCAGGTAGGCTTCCCTCCAGGCACAGTACATTGAGGACGGATTCCATCAGAAAAAAATAGATCACCGGCACTGTCTTTGTTGATCTTACGGCTGCTTAGGACACTGTTAACCATTGCCGACTCCTTTAGAAAAGATCCTGGACATGACGGCAGACCTGACCCTTACCCAGTTTATTGGTGTTCTACTGAAGAACCATCATTTCTTTGTAGAATTCAATGGCAGAGTAGAGAACGTCTTCAAAGGAATTAAATGTCTCCCCAAGGGAGTTTGCTTGCATCTCTCCTGTACAACATCTATACGAGCTACCAACCGACAGACTCGCTCGCAAAGCGCTTCATATGATGACGACCTGTGTATAGCTTATCAACACATATGCTTTACCGCGATAGAGAAGACATTGACATATGCTCTTGACCAGTCACAGCAGTGCTACACTGTGAGTCACCTGAAAGCGATCAACCCTGCTATTAAGACCCAAGTGTGTGCCTCCTGGGTTGGCCAGGCTGGTGTCGTCTCCCCCACTACATGAGATGCCCATCAAGCCTGCAGAAGCCTTACCTACAAGATCCAATGCAGGATGGAAGACCCCCAGCAAACACAGAACGTTTAAAAAACGTTTTGGTAGGTTCTACGAAGGTCACTTACGTCTTCGTCCAAAAAGGACGTTTTTAAAACGTGCATAAAACGTTATAGATAATGTACAATTCCGAGGTTTTTTCGAGAACGTTCTAAAAACGTTTTGCGAACGCTAGAAAATTTACCCAAGTGAAACGATCTTTTGCGACGTTTAAAAAACGTTTGTCGGACGTTAGAAAATGAACCTACATTAAACGGTCTTCTGTGATGTTTGGAAAACGTAATTTCCCGAACGTTTAAAAAACCTTGAATTCAAACGTAAGTAAACTAAACAAACAGACCCTTAAATTTGAATTTAATGTGGAATCTTACATTTTTGTGCAATGTTGAATAGATTTACACATTTTCAATTACTAGCAGATATGTACGGACATTTACCCGGGATCCATCCGTGTGTGTGTTGTTTAAGAACCACTTTTATTATTTAAATAATTTTATTTTATTGTTATTTTATAGCTGCCATAGCGAGTAACCTTTTGATAAACGGATTTCATAATATATGATATTGCACTCTTAAAATGTACATAGGGATGTTTTTTAATGGAAAATAGATATGAATAAGTTTTACTAAAGGACACATTGTCACGTAAGAGCGAATATCTCCGTGCTCTGTGTAGTTGTCCATTAATTTTTTATGCCCAGAAGCGATCCCCGGCTTATTTGAACACCATCCATTTTCCATCAAAATTATTAATTGGAAAATATGTCCGTTAAATATTTTATGACGGTAGACAAAAATATCGATGAATGTTTTGAAGTGGGGGCTGTTTGCAATATTTTGTTCCACTCGTGCGATCTGATATTACAGGAGAAATGATTGAGTTGCCAAGTAAAAACGAGTTGGGTATGCGAGGCAACGATAATAATCATGCAAGCATCTCCAGGCCGCGTATTTCATAACGTTGGTTTCTTTCTAATTCAATGTTTGAGATTGTTTTCAATTCATAGCCCATCTAAAAAGGAAATAAACGAGAATCATTATCATGCTAAAATTGCAAGACGTTCTGTCTTCAAGCAATGGACCCACACAACATTTTAGATTGTAGATTAAATCTCAGTTTGGGGGAAAATACATAGCACAAAGTATTGTAACGTATACTATGCGCTAGTCTTATACATCTTTTGCAACAATTCAACAACAGAGTGTTTATCATTTCGACATGTGTATCAAAAACACAGTTTCAAGCGATTTGGAATTCAGACTTTTGACGTCCGAAAGTTAAGACGCACACAATCTGCTTAGTCTCTCGCTGCGAATGGATTTTTATTATTCATGGAAAGATCATCTTCTAATTATAGAAATGTCAGCCTCGAAAGTCGAACCTAAATGGCTTCGGGTAGTGCGCTCCCACTAACTGCTCTCTGACTAGTACTGGATCATTTGCATGTTCGAAAATCTTGCACAATTACAATTAGGTTCGGAATAGTCTGGTCAGCCTGGCTACGCCATAAATCAATGTTCCTTTTTGTACGCGGTGTCAACGGTACAATCAATTTGTCGTGGCCTGAGACTAGAAAACACCAGATTTTTTTCAAAGTTTTAATTTTACAATCTTACCCATCAAAAAGGCAGTATAACACTAACAGGGGATATTTTATAAGCAAAATGTAAAAAGGGAGGAATATTATCGACATAATCATTCATAACGAACGTTAAAAAACGAACCTGTAATATTATATTGGAAGTCAAATAACAAAGATATAGATGCATCACATGTTTACGTACTCGCTATTGAGGGATCGAATCAAGATTCAAGGTTTAGATTCAAGATGTGTTCATGTGCATGCTTACAATTACATGAAAATTGATTTCCCATGGTACATTCATTAAAAATAGGCATACAAAAAAAAAGCTAATTTATCTCCAAAGGTCCATTATTGTGTCGAAAGTATACCCTGCAAATGAGATTGCAAATATCCTCAGTCGGACGTTGTCCATCAACTGGCAAAATCAATCAATAGTTGACGGGAATAAACAACATTTGCTTTTGGTGTATTTTTCAGAAATGGATGGATTGGGGTGTGTGTGTGTGGGGGGGGGGGGGGGTAGTATTGTATAGCAAACATTGTTGCGCTGATTTACCTAAAGTTTTGTGCTCGTAGGTGCTAGAAAAACCAAGAAAAACAAAAGCAATCATGTTCTTGTAGTCTGGCTCCCTGACCCCACTTAAGATGACACGGAGCAATTTATAGACGTCGGGGAATTGTAAGGTCAGGGAACCAGTCTAGCTGGCTTGTACCTGTTCATAAGTGTGTAATCGATTGCGAAGGAAATGCGGACTAACTAAATATGGTAATTTGGGCGCAGTATATGAAAAAATCCAGCGTTGGAAAATCATAAAAAAATACCACTTTTCTTGAAAATGTCAGCACACCAGGTGCCATATTTTAACGGGATGCTTTAATCTGTCGTTCACTATTACAGTCCACTAAGGCATTTCATAATAATTTGGTAGTTTTGTTGTTTGATGTTTATAAATGTTGAACGCACGCTAGTCAACAATGGTTGGACAACTTATTAGTCGATTATTCAGGTCCAGCCTACCGCGGTTTGTTGTGCAACGATTTCTAGCTGGTTATCAATAGCAATTTTCATAGCATAAGTACAGAGGGGACCAGCTTTCAACAAAAAATGTCGGGAAAACGAAACTGTACAGTGCTAAATTTATTTTCATTGCATAATTTTGCCATGTTAGTTAACGATTCTGACATTGTTTTCACTGTTGTACAAAATGGCGATTATGTAAGGTGTCTTAAACTACACAATCACTATTATTTGTGTAAAAAAAACCAGATACACTATGTGTTGAAAGCTTGTGCGACCGCCATTTTCTCACGGTCGTTGCAACGACAATAGTTCGACTACAGTAGTTCGCACTTTAACTGCAGTGCGCATGCGCTAGTAAGTCACGAACCAGGCAATAGTTAAGCACTAGTCTTTGATCGAACTTGCCGGCTGTCTTGAAGATTTGGTGCATGCGTAGATGTTCTAGACCCGCTGTGCACAGTCGTCAGCGTTCACTCGCTCACACGACATCGCCAGAATCTCTCACTAGTCTCATTCTGGTGACAGTGATTTGACTTGCAGACGAGCAATCCAAAGGTAGGCTGAGTTCGGAGTTTATAAAATCCGTTGACGATTTCTCATTTTGTAGAGCTGAGCTTAAAAACAGCATTCCATCTTGCTTGATTTCGTCAACTTTTACTAGAATGGCAGAGTTTCAGAACGAGTCAGCCTTCTGCGGCGCCGGTATACCAGTGGTCGATCTTAACAATGACGCTACGGCGACAAAGTGGTACTCGACTCCGACTCAGGTCCTACTGGCGAACATTGGAATCCCTGCAGTTCTCACCATTGGTATTCCTGCCAATCTCGCTTTCCTCTTCATGCTGTACCGAGTTCCCCGTATGCGAACGGTGACCAATTTCTATCTGGCCAATCTAGCGGTCTCGGATACTCTGTATCTGTGTTTCTACTCCCTCATCTACATCCGGTCTCATCGACGCACCCCGTTCTGGCCGCTTCACGAGAATTCAGAGGCAGCTTGCCTGACCCAATCGGTAACGCTTGACCTGTTCTATTTCTCCTCCAACTACCTGATAACTTTGGTTGCAGTGGAGAGATACTACGCCGTGTGCCACCCGCTGCGGAGCTTACAGCGAGCTAGTCCGTATCGCCGTGTCGCACTCGTGGTCGTTACGTGGGCCCTCGCATTGGCTTTTGCCGTAGTAGTCTGTCCTCGTCTCGGCAGCTTACAGAAAGTCTGCATCATCTGGCCCGAAACTAATCACCTCACATCTCAAGCAACTGCACTTACTTTCTGCTGGGCTAGTAAACAGTGGAGCCTTCTTCTAAGCTACTGTCTCTACGTTGGTATATGGTCTATAGGCGTCGTAGCGAACCTTGTCATGTACGTACGGATTGTACGTCGCCTGGGCAGGCGCAACATAGGTCCTCAACAAAACGCAATGAATGTACGCAACAAAGTGGCACGGATGCTCATCATCAACAGCGCGGTTTTCTTCATCTTACAGATGCCTCGCGTAGTTGTCTTCAATGTTTTCGCTTTAGTCTCCGCTTCGAAAGGAGGCAACGCCATGCCGACGGGAGATGCAGCTACGATCTTTCCCATCGCAGTGTTCCTCGTCTTGTTGAATTCAGCTGTCAATCCGTACATCTTTACCCTAACAAACCCGAAATACCGACAGGCTTTGAGGGATGCATTGTGTTGCTGCTGCCCGAAACGGCGAGTAGGTGTGGCAACTGATACTGGCCCACCTGAGCAAAATGACCCAGGGAATCCAGGAACACAACAAACATTGCAAACGCGGACGTAACCCATTTTGCCCTTTGGTAATTTTTGAGCGAATTGAGGGCGCTATAATAATCCATCGTCAAGAGCTGTATATAGAGTTGCGACAACTTCAGACTGTTGAACCACAATGACCATTCATTACGTATACAGTGCAGCGGACGACTATTCTGTACGAATGAAATACGTGCACTGATGCATAATCCGCCATTTTGGTTCCAAACAGTGCGACCCTTATGTCGCAACTCTCTCTATATGTATACGGCTCTGCCATCGTCTGATTACAAACAGTTGAAACACATCGGTTATTGAAGCAGTGTGTTAGGCCTAATTGTACTCAAACTTCAAAGAATGCATTTAAAAAAATTCATTTTCGAGCAAAATAACATCTAAATTACGTCATTACACTTGAATGCTAGGCTGTTTACAGCCCTCAATTAAATGGCGTCGGTGTACAGCGCCCTCACTCGTTTACAAATATGGCCTACTCCCACCCTCGTCCCAACGGGATACTTTGTTTTCAACGTCGTTTCCAAATGTAATTTATGCCGTGCACTATGTGATTTCTTGTTAACGTGTATTACATAATTATTTTAACGTTCATTGTGAGTTTTAACATCCACTCATCCCAAAGATTGCATTCTCCTTTTTCCCCCTTGCTTATAATAATCATGTATTGTAACACTGCGAATTGTAAGATCGTTAATATTATATCTTTTAAAAGAAATCTCACGCTACACAAATTGATCCCGTCTATCACCGGGCACCGCACACAAAACCACGCTGATTGATTTGCTCGTACCCCCTCGTGCCCCCGCCCTGCAAACAGGACGCTGGGATATGCTGATGAATTCACGCTCTTATTTTATAGAGTTTGCGTGACCTATGACATGTACGACCCTGCAAGGAAACGGCCGTTAAGACTGAGTCATCACTCTTTTATTCCCATTCATAAATGCTTTTTTGGTTGAAAAGAGTAATAATGTAGGACATTCTGTAAAACGTATCTGTTTTGTAAAGCTTTCAATTCTTGCCACTTTCTCAGGCTCTGTTTCGAATTCACGAAGGGTCAAATTGCAAATTATGCGACGCTCAAAATTTGTCTACTTGGTCCACAATGAAAAGAAATCACATCCGGTATAGAATGTGTGCATTTCTACGGGACAGTTTTCGGATAGCATTTGCGCGCATTGGTTAAATGCGGTGACCGCTGCAGCCAGATGCTTTATACATAGGTCATGATAAGTTACCAAGAATGCCATCCCCACTTCCTTCACAAGATTCTGTGAAGATCAGCGTGTCCCAGTGCCCTGTTTGCAGGGCGGGGGTACGAGCGGAGCTGATTGAGAACATGGGCATGGCACCAGACTATTTCCGAATTTGCATGTGCAAGATTTTGAACATGCATGATCCAACAATACCAGGGTGAGAGAGCCTGTACTGGTAGTAGGAGCGTTCTGCTCGACACCATGGAATCGAGGTTGAGCATAATCATTTGCAGATTATCTCCATATAAGACGAGGCCGAGCGAGAAAGTACGTGGAAAACAAAGACTCTTCCGCGTCATTGCTACATAGGTAGACAGGGTATTACGTAATGTTTCAACTAAACGCAAAGGGATCATTAGCCTTTATTGAGATATGGTGGGGGCACAATCAGGGAGCGCTATTTGGACTGGGTACATTTAGGTAAATACAGAAGTTTTCACCCGATCAAAATAGCACCCCGTATTGTGTCGACAATCTAAAACAGCACAATTTGCATAATATTACAGTAACTACATGCAGAAAACGTTATTTATGGTTTCGATATCATTGTCTTTATTTGATCGTGTCAGCCTTATAGAATGAGAAGGTGCTGTATTCGTCACAACTTTCACTCTTTTTAAGTGATGGAAATTGTAATTGAAAACAAGGAGCGAATTACCTATTCCCCCCCCCCCCTTATTTGAGCACTGCAAATACTCTTAACAATATATTCAGAGATTGTCACATAGGGTTTAGCAAAAATAATTTTTTAGGAAAAACACGGCACCGCTACCGGAAATTCCAGGCCTTCGTCATAGCCTGTTTGGATGCCTGTCTAGTAACTACAAAAAAAAAATGTTCTGAATCCGATTGTTAAAAATGTCAACAAATTAAACAGTATGTACTCAAAATTAAGTTTGTACATAGTACACTATTGTTATTGGTCACATAATTTTAATTACCACACATTTAGAAACTATATAGCACGAAAGACTATTACTTCACAAATGCTACTACAAGTTTAACGTGAGAAAATGACTGCACTTCTGTGAATGCTAAACATACAGCTCAATTGCATTATCATTTCGCTACGAATAAAATCCTGGTAACAGAAATGTTTTAAATGCAGATGTATTCATTAAACAATTCCTTTTTTTTCTTCAAAAAAACTGTTACTTTTACTTTTTACTGAACTTGCCCCGTACGATCTCGTTCGATAATAGCTAATGAGGATGTCCGTACAGCATCCACTTGGAAAAATTGACTGATAGTTTCCCATGATCATTAATAATTGTTACCAGTCTCATTCTCCACTTATTTATGTCGAGATGATCTGAATCCAACTAGATAAATGACTTTGGAATTATTTGTAATTTGCAGACTTTGCTCCAGAACAAAACAAAAAACGATTCATGCTTGTCTAGTTAAAGCTAGGCAAATTAAAGGTTGTTTTTCCCGTTTTAACGGATGTTAATTGCAGTAATTTTTTTAAATTCATCCAAATGTTAGTTTATGCTGAACATTCAAGTCTGATCAAGTATTTAAATGAATAGTAAACGGACTCACTGTTCAAAGTGACTCCATTTTTTGCAAGCGTTCCCCTCAGGAATCATACGGGGCGCCATGTTTGCATGAGCTTTTCATTCATAACATGATTACAGGTATATGGACGTACAGTTGATTTATACACCTGAAGTAAAGATGTATGGCAATTAACAATACAATTTGGAAGAATAGCAAGTCGCCAAGGTCTGATAATTTCAGTTTATAATTAAAAAAAAAGAATGCCTCTGATCATGAGCGTCGCGGGGGGGGGGGGGGGCAGGGGCATGGGAGAATCATATTACTGTTGATGTAATGCATACTTAACAACATGGACGGTTTTTAACAAAGCGTCGAGCGATGTTTAACCCCCCCCCCCCCTCTCTCTCGATTTTTCCGCGGCCGGTGATTTCTCCCTTCACTTCTGGTAAGTGCTTTGCCCCCCTTTAGAAACAAATCCTGGCAACGTCATTGCCTCTGATTTATAATGATACCTCTCACGTTCCCTGAATTATAAATACGTTAATGGGAAACCTTTGGTTACTGAGCATTACGGGATTTCTCTTTTGCCAAAAGAGAACAGGCCCAGTGGATTTTCAGAGGAAAATAAAATAGCCAGAAGCAATCCATTTGCTTCTCCTCTCATTGCGAAAAGGGCATTATCCTGTCTTTGTCACATTACAAAAAATAAACATATCAGCCGTTTTTATTAAAGAAATTGTGTGAATCATATTTCAAGTTGAGGAGTTTAATCATAATTTTCTCTATTGATTTGTAAAAGGCCTTCGATTCCAGTTCAAATGCCTGAGCTTTTGTTTTAAGTAATGGACCATTTAACAGTTGGTCCCCAACAATTAAATGTGGATCCATGTTCTTTACGCTCTTTTGGTAAATGAATTCCAGTTTCAGAATCATTTTAGAGTGTTTTTAGATAGGGATATTGATTATAAAAATATAAGTTAATAAAAAAATCTTAATTTGAGGATGTACTTCTTTTGCAATTCTTGTATATCCAAACTAGTAATAATCGTACCACCATTTATTGATATGAGCCGAAATGGGGCGGGAATCAAATCTTGCCCTCCCCCAACCCGATTCTAATGCGCCCTCTAGCTGTACACGTTAAAGTATAATTAATGACTCTCGAGCAGATATGTGTACAAAATGTTGATAGCGTTGTTTTAGAGAAATTATGGAAATAAGATTCACTGCCTAGAATAAAACGCGAAAGATCCATCAAAGCCATTACACAATTATTATGCACAAAAAGCTAAGAATATCTACATTCAAACGGCAGACTAGCAGTAAACTATGTGCAATGCTACATTATGGCTGGTTATTTCTATTTTACATACATTCTTAGTACCCCGCGCCGGTACTGTTTAAACAAGCGGAGCTGGTAGTAATCTGTCCTTATTTCAAGAGAAGTACGAATATTTACTCTTTACGAGGTTGTCCAGTCAAGTTAAAAGTATGACCACAAGTCTTGCTGGAAAACTGTTTGCCTTAGTTGTTGATGTTTTGATAATCTGCCAGCATGTCTTTAACTGGATTCACGGTGGTACGCTGTTGGGTGGCGACATCTCCAACAGCCTGGTAATAGCCTTGTTGGTCTGCCGATGTTTCGTTTGCTGATGAGAGGTCCGTGTAGTCAGTATTCTTGATAACCGTGGATGTCTGTAGATCCATGTATGGTTTGTCTTGAGGCGTATTGGTTGCTTTCTTGTTTAGATCTTCAATCAGACCTCTAAGCATGAGAATCTTGACAGTGACAGCGATGTTAAGGATGATAGATGCTGCAAGAATCAGGAGTGCAACTATCAAGGCTGCAATCGGGATACAGGCAGGTGGCTGTTCAGTCGTTGGTTCGGGTAGGATTGGTCTTACATCTAGTGGGCCAATCAGGCAGGATTGCTTCAAGCCAGGGTAATACACAGATGATATGACGCATTCAAATGCAACATCACCAGTAGTTGCATTAACAACTGAATCTAACGTCGTCTGAATTGTTTTACCAACGGTTGATGTGTTCCATGTGTACGCGCCAGATCGGAAGGGTGTCTGAGATACTGTTAACGTGACTGAAGGGTTGCCCTTTTCGGACGAGCATCGCAGCTGGAGTGCGGTTCCCGTCTCTACAGTTACGGGCCCATCTGGCGAGCAAATGGGATACGACGCATTGGGGAAGTAAAGAACTTCCAAGGCTACCGAACCACTGGCCAAAACGCGTGTGCCT